TTTTATTGTATGAAACTGCTCCATGTGTGCCAGTGGTGGCTATACTGATACTTAACAAATTTTGATGAAAGAGCAAAAATACAGATTAAAATAGTGAGTACTCTCAGTTTTACATGTGTGATGTAAGTTTCTTTTTCTCCATATAGTATTATATAATAGAAAACTTTGGACTACAGTTCTCAATGTTAGTAAAATCTGGCCTTCCTAGCTGTGGTTTACCTGTCACCTGCTCCCTGGAGATAATTTGCTTTCTTCCAGCCATTGACTTTCCATATCTGCCCATCCTTTCTCCCTTCCACTTTGAAAACAAAACAGGTTGACTATGCCAGTCTTCAAGATTAGTGATTCTGAAGTACTGTCAATATATAGGTTTCAGTTAGAAGATACAACCTACATAAGCATTTTTGGCTTGTTTTGATTGACAGCTTTCTTTAAATTGGATCACTGAAGCCGAGCCAGTTAGTTTGTTAATATTTCTCTTTCATATATTTTTAATATTAAATTCTTATAGTTGGGTGTTTCTTACAAGTTTGCACACTTTTTATTTTGTTTCTGAAATAATTGTGCAGGTTATAAAAAAATTTGTGCATTTTCATTTTTCTCCTTATATTGTTCTTCAGAGATGACTATTTTTAGGGGAAATAATTTTTATGGCCACTAAATTGTATTTGCTATTTTTGTACATGCACAACTAGGGTGGTGAGGGCACTAATCTTGTAGGGAACACTTATTTTTCTGTTTGAACTTTTCTTATACATTTGTTACCTAAAATTACCAGAAGAACAGTGTCATCAAAGCTAGGTTGAGAGAGAATACAATAAATAGGAGAACACTTAGAAAGTTTGAATAGAAATAATTTCTGAGGACAAAAACAAGAATATGCCAGTGCCATGTAATTGAAGCATAAAGACAGCGTTCATACTGTGCAAGTGTTGAAAAGAATGGATAAAGATCTGGATCCTGCTCTGATGGAAACAGACAATTTCTCAAAAAAACCAAAAATGTATAAAATATGAACTACAACATGGGATATTATATTGTAAGCTAACTGTGCCAAGATTACTCAAAGTATAGTCATTATTGATTAAAGTAACTTTCATTTAAGAGGGGATATTAAATGTCAGAAAATCTGTAATATGTTTTATTTGAGAGGTGTAAATAATGTATACAGACTTGTATGTGATGGGATGGGAAATATTTAAATTCTGGTTCCTGCCCCCTCCCCAAAAGAAGAAACTGAATGATGTTTATAAAAAAATAAATAGTTATGTTTGGCCATGAACTCTGACTTTGTATTACTGTTAATTTTGTCATAGGTATGTCTACACTGAACACATTGCTAGAGAAGCATGGAAGGTATATGGAGAATGTTGAGCATATGTGCTAGGCATTATTTTTTGTAGTGTTAACAACAACCCTGGAAGTTAGGATCCACTGTTTCACATTCTAGAAAATTACAGGTCAGACATTGGATAAAATTTGGATTGAGATTTAAGACCAAGTATGCCTGACTTTGAAGCTAGTGGGTTTTTTGTCACTGTTGTTTGGTTTTTAAATATATACTAACATCATGAGAACAGTTAGCAAAATAATTAATATTGCTGATCTTTCCATCAAGCTATTATCTAATATTTTGTCTTGACTATAGACCATTAAAGAATATTAATAAACAGTATTGGAGATAGCCGGCTGATACCTAAGTTTTAAAAGGAAATGTGAATTTTTAGCATATTCTCATAGTAGCATTATTTAAAAGTATTTAGAGGCATTTATGTTTGGATCTTAAAAAAAAAAAAAAAAAAGAAACCAAACTTACTGCCATCAAGTCTATTCGACCCCTCCCTGGGTTTCCAAGGCGGTATCTCTACAGAAGTAGAGTGCCCAGTCTTCCTTCCAAGGAGTAGCTGGTGGGTTTGAACCACCACCCTTCTGGTTAGCAGTCAAATGCCTTAGGCACTATACCACCAGGACCTTCAGGTTGGGAATATTTTGATAGTAGTAGCCATAGTTGCCCAATGTCACTAATTGGTATTTGGGGACAAGACTAGGAGAAAAAACACGAATCCATGCTGCTGTGGATTGTGTCTGTGTGCTTTAAAAACACCTTTTAGTCCAAAGGACTAATGGACCATGTGAACCTCAGCCTTCACCACGGTAAGACCAGAAGAACTAGATGGTGTCCATCTCCCAGCTACCATTACCTACTGCTCTGAAAGGGATCACATCAGAAGTTCCCAGAAAGTGGGAGAAAAATGTGAACAAAACTCAAAATCATAAAAAAGTGCAGCTTACTGGTCAATCAGATAGAGACTGGAGAAATCCTTGAGACTATGGCCCTTAGTCACCCTTCAGTTTGGAACTGAACTTAGCCCGTGGCTCAACTTTCAGTCAAACAATAGACAAGTCTATAAGGTGAATAATAATACTAGGGAGGTACACTCCTTAGAACAATCAACTGTTGGAGATCAGAAGGGCAGCATTTGCCCAAAGACAAAGTTCAGAAGGCAGACAGGGTTAAGAAAAAAGGAGGAATGGAAACAGGAAATGGGAAGTGGGATGGGTGCTGTTACATTGTGGGGACTGCAGTCAATGGCATGAAACAAAGTACGTATGAGTTGCTGAATGGAAAATGGATGTGCTCTGTAAACCTTCACTCAAATCACAATAAACAGTCTTTGTTTGAAAAAAGTAAAACAAGATATTTATGAATCAAGCTAAAGCAAGTACCTCTGGGGTCAAAACAAAACTAAAAAGTACTTTGTTATTCTGCAAATATTATATTTACAAAGCATCCACTGTGTGTAAAGAATTACACACACGTGCATATATATATATATATATATATATATATATATATATATATATATATTTACACACACATACAGTAAAATTAATTATTTTGATAGGTTCATTTACTTGTACTAAATTTAAACTATGGGACTTCTTGAGTTCCATTTTCCTCCTGTTTGAAGATTTCAGAGACTCACCTTGCTTTAGTATTCTTCTCAGTAGCTGTCAATACCCTTAACCATTCTCCTCAAGTTTGGGTATGGAATGTGACACTAGCTTTCCCAGCAATTTCCACCAGCTTCCTTGCTGTACCTGATGACAACTCTCCAAGCTTTTTTCCATTTCAAGGATCTTAGTGCTAAGCACTCTGGGGATAAACAAAAGTAATTTAGGTAACAGCATAATGACGTAAGTTACAAAGAACTGTTCTTGCTATTTTAACTGAATTCAGAGTTCCCCATGGAATAACCTTTTGATTTCTTAGGATAGAATCATGTTTTTCTTCTTCTTATGACTTGACTCTTAGAAGCATTTCAGATCTGATGATAATGGCACCTTTGGTTTCTGTAGATAATTTAAACTAGAACTATCAGATTGGTAATACCTGGTTTACTAGGTTTTTACCATGACTAAGAATGAACTTTATTGTTCATGTCTACACTGCATTTGTGCCCAGCTAGATGAGTCTTTTTGCATAGCGCATGGCTATGTAAGTATGTAAACACTCAAATTCAACATTTGTTAACTATGTGCCAAGGGCTGGGCATGCAAAGTTACTTAAGTCATAGTATGGTGAACACAATATTACTTAGTGTGGTAACTTCTACACAGCACGTCTAGACAGGCAACCAAATCAAATGCAGGAGGGGATCAGGAAAGACTAATTGGAGTTGGTGTCTGACTACCTGAATTCTTATCTGGGTTCTTCTAGTGATCTTGAGATTTTGGACAAATAGCCTCCTAGTGCCTGTTTCCTCATTGGTAAAATGGGACCCATGGAATATCCATCAATGGATTGCTAGTTAATTCCTGAAAACACAGTAAGAGCATAATACATTACAGGAGGCTGAGCTGCTGAGTGGCATTTTCCCTGATAGTATTCCTCCAGACTCCCAATATAGGCTTCTTGTTGTCAGGTGCCATCCAGTTGGTTCACATTCCTGGCAACCCTATATGAACAATAGGCCCAGTCCTGTGCCATCCTCACAATCATTGCTATGCCGGAGCCCATGGTTGCAGCCACTGTGTCCAACCATCTAGTTGAGGGTCTTCTCCCTTTTCTCTGATGCTCTACCAAGCATGATATCCTCCAGGGACTGGTCCATACTGATAACGTGACTAAAGTGCATGAGAGGAAATCTGGCTTTTCTTGCTTCAAAGGAGCATGCCAGTAGTACTGCTTCCAAGAAAAATTTGTTCATTCTTCTGGAAGTCCATAATGTAGTCACCATTCTTCGCAAACACCATAATTCAAAGACAACAATTCTTCTGCAGTCTTAATCATTGTCCAGCTTTCACATTCTTATGAAGCTATTGAAAATACCATGGCTTGGGTGAGGTCCTCAAAGTGACATCTTCAGCATAGAAATTTAATTTTTCTACCAGATGGTGCTTCTTTCACGAGTTAAAAGTTTGAAGTCCAACTAATTCTGCCCATACCATTCTGTTAAAGATGCACTGGAAAGGGCAGTTCTCCAATGCCTAGCTCCGCCCAAGTTGCGTGAGAAGAGCTTGCAACATGCCCATCCTCAGGTGCCCTCCCTAGCCCCTGAAGAACATGCGACCCCGCCCTCTGCTCCTGCGTGACTCGACGTGCCTGGCGCGCAGGCTAGTTGTTGTTATTTGCCTTCGAGTGAGCCCTGACTCATAGCGACCCCTCCTTGGGTTTCCGAGGCAGTATCACTACGGAAGTAGGATTGCCCAACCTTCCTTCTGAGGCGTGGCTGGTGGGTTTGAACCGCCAGCCTTCTGGTTAGCAGTCAAGTGCCTTAAGCACTATGCTACCAGAGCTCCTGCGCACGCTAGAGCGGGCGCCCAAGGCGGCGAAAGCTGAAGGCTAGAAGGAGGGATTCTCGTCTTCAGAAAGAGAGGGGCGTTGCTTCCTCTCCCGGAGGGCGTCCACCAGACAGGCCCCTCCCCCACCAGGAGCTGGTTTTGCGCGCCAAAGTCAAACCCGAGGTTTGACTGCAACCTGCGGGTCTGGAAGCCGAGAGAGCTACAGTGCTCTCATTCCTAGCCACCTCTCAAGCCCTCCCTGCTTAACGCGCTACAGGCCTCCAACAAGACGACAGAATGGCAACCCCGCCCAAGAGAAGTTGCCCACCGCCTGCGACCAGTTCTGAAGGCATCCGCATCAAGAAAATCTCTATCGAAGGGAACATCGGTAAGGAGTCCCCGGAGGTGTTGGGACCAAAGCAGGGAAGTCAAAAGCTGCGGCTGCTGGAGCACCTTCTTCGCTGCATTTTTCTCTGCTGCTCCTAAGTGAGGGCGTTTGTCCCAGCCTGTAGACGCAGCTTCGGCTTCCCTTCCCGCGGAAAGCACCCTTCCCTGCCCGTCCCAGTTCTCTTCCCGTGTCCAGAGGGCAGCGGCGTCCTCCGGGCTTCAGACAGCACTGAGACCGGTGGGCTTTGAGGTGCTGGTGAGCCCGTTTTAGTCTTGGTTGGGAACGCGCGAAGGGAAGAGTTTTGTTTGTTGTGGGTTTATTTTTGGGTCAGGTTTCTTGACGTCTAATTTAAATAAGCTAAAGTTTATGAGGTCGTGTAACCACCGTTACAGTCAAGGTAGAGAACATTTTCATATGACATCTCAAAAACTTGCCTTGAGCAGTTCCATTATAAGCTCTGTCCTCCATTCCTATCTCCAGGCAGCCACTGATCTATCTGATTTCTCTCTCTCCTAAAATGACAAACAGTAGCCTGCGGATGATTCTGCCTCACTGCGGACCCGTGTGTGCAGAGTGGGACTGTGCTTATTCCAGAGTTTTCAAAGCTAAAGTCGCCAGGTCTTTCTTCTGAGGCATCTCTGGGGTGGGCATACCTATCCACGCAAACATTTCCGTTATTGGTTAATCACCTAACTGTTTGCACCACCCAGAGACTCCTCTGTATAGTTTTGCCTTTTCCAGACTGTCATATACATTGAATCATAGAGTTCAGTTGTCTCTCTATACCCGTGGGGGATTGGTTTCAGGGCAAATATCTGGGGATTCTCAAATCCTTTATAGAAAATGGCATAGTATTTGCATATAACCTGCACATGTCCTCCCATATATTTTAAATTATTTCTAGATTACTTATAATACCTAATACAGTGTAAATGCTGTGTAAATAGCATTTTATCCTGTGAAGGATTGCTTTGACTGCTTTATTTCCCTGCTCCAGTATTTTTGTTCTGTGGTTGTTGCTTGTATCATTAGTGTGTTCCTTTTTGTGTACTGAATAGTATTGCACAACATGGATATACATACCACAATATCCACCATGCATGTCACTTTGCAAGAAACAGATGAAGTTTCTATTCTCCACTATATTGCCAAACCACAGGAAACCTATGCCAGGAACTTCCTGTTTTGATGGATTTTTTTTTTTCTCCAGGTGGGGTATGGCCATTCATGCATACAGCATATATGTATATATTTTTAAATTTTACTACTTCTTACCATATTCCGAGCACCTGTACCTTCTTGAAAAAAGCAAGGGAAACAGATGTTTTAACGACATTTAAAGGAATAGAAAAAAGCTCAACACACCCTCAAAGAGACCTTCTTGTTTCATTGCTTCAGTATTAAGGCACCAATGGAAAAGAGCATATAAACAAGTCTCATTTCTTCAGTATACCTGCTTTGAAGTGGGTGATATTTTCTAGTATGAGCCTTCACAGTTATTTATTGGATGACAAAATCCATATATCAAGGGAAAGTAGCCAAACAAAGCCATCTCAAAAGTAAATTTTAATGAACAACCCTTCAGATCAATATCCTAATGAATTAATTTCTTTTCCTCTCTCAATACAGTGGGTCCTGGGAAGGAAGGTTGGGCAATCTACTTCCATCACTATGGATACTGCCTCGGAAACCCAAGCAAAGGTCATTATGAGTCAGATCCGACTCCACAGCAGTGAATTTTGAGTTCTCCCAAATCCAGAAATCTACTTTTCCCCAAGCATCATTAATCTTCCAAGAACTTGAAATAATTTCCTAATAGGTCACCTCAACTCCAGGTTCTCTTAACTGCTTCCAGAGCCTTTCTGTGTTGTTGTTGTTAGATGCCTGTTGAGTTGGTTCTGACTCATAACAATCCTATGTACAACAGGAGGAAACACTGCCTGGTCCTGTGCTATCCTCACAGTTGTTGCCGTGCTTGAGTGCATCAGTGCAGCACTATGTCAGTCTGTCTTGTTGAGGGTCTTCCCCTTCTTCACGGACCCTCTGCTTTACCAAGCATGATAACCTTTTCCAGGGACTGGTCACTTCTGACAACATGACCAAAGTAAGTGAGATGAAGTCTGGCCATTATCCATTGTAAGGTGCTTTCCGGCTGTACTTCTTCCAGGACAGATTGTTCTTTATTCTGGCAGCCCATGGTATTTTCAGTATTCTTTGCCAACACCACAATTTATTATTATTATTATCATTATTATTATTATTGTTCCTGAGAGTAGAGCCATGGAAGTGACTTCAATTCCAGGTCCAAAGGGTGACTTGGGGCCATAGTCTCAGAGGTTTCATCAATCTCTACCCCACTAGTAAACCTGGTCTTTTTATATTTTTAATTTTGTTTCACATTGTTTATCCCACTCCACATCATTCTTAACATTTAAAGACTACATGTTGTTGTTGTTGTTGTTGTTATGTGCCGTCGAGTCAGCCCTGACTCATAGCGACCCCTCCTTGGGTTTCTGAGGCAGTATCACTATGGAAGTAGGATTGCCCAACCTTCCTTCTGAGGAGTGGCTGATGGGTTTGAACCGCCAGCCTTCTGGTTACAACACCACAATTTAAAAGCATCAATTTTTGGTCTTCTTATTCATTATTCAGCTTTCACATGTACGTGAAGGTGTTGAAAATAACATGGCTTGGGTTTCAAAAAAACAAACCCATGAGTTAGGTGCACCTTAGTCTTCAAAGTGACATTTTTGCTCTTTAAAGATGGCTTTTGCAGCACATTTGCCCACTGTAATAAGATACCTGATTTCTTGACTGCTGCCTCCGTGGGTATTGATTGTGATCCAAGTAAAATGAAATCTTTGACATGAAATAACTTTTTTTTCCATTTATTGTTATGTTGCTTATTGGTCCAGTTGTGAGGATTTTTGTTGAGGTATAAGCCTTACAGCAGATTGTAGTCTTTGATCTTCATCAGTAAGTGCTTGAAGTCATCTTCACTTTCAACAAGCAAGGTTGTGTCCTCTGCATACCATAGATTGTTAATGAGCCTTCTGCCATTCCTGATGCTGTGTTCTTCATATAGTCCAGCTTCTTGGATTATTTGCTCAGCACACAGATTGAGTATGTATGGTGATGTGATGCAACCTTGATACATACCCTTCCTGATTTGATTTGCATGCATCATCCCTTTGTTTTCTTCGAACGATAGCCTCTTGGCCTATGTATAGGTTCCTCATGAGCACAATTAATGAAGTGTTCTGGAATTCCTATTCTTCACAATATTATCCATGATTTGTTATGATCCACCCAGTCAAATGCCTTTGCATATCAATAAAAGGTAACTGTCTTTCTGGTATTGTTTTGCTTTTAGCTGAGATCCTTATGACATCAGCAATGATATCCCTTGTTCCATGTCTTCTTCTGAATCCATCTTGAATTTCTGGAAGTCCTCTGTCAGTGTACTGCTGCAACCATTTTTTAGTTATCTTCAGTAAAATGTTACTTGCATGTGATATTAATGATGCTGTTCGATAATTTCCACATTCTCTTGGATCACCTTTCTTTGGCATGGGCACATATATCTTCCATTTGGTTGGCCAGGTAGCTGTCTTCCAAAATTCCTGGCATAGACGAGTAAGTGCTTTAAGAGCTGTATCTGTTTGTTGAAACATCTCAACGGGTATTCTGTCAGTTTGTATAGCATTGTTTTTTGCAATTTGCTCAATGCAGCTTTGACTTCTTCCTTCAATACCATTGGTTCTTGATCATATGCTACTTCCTGGAATGGTTGAACATTGACTGGGTGTTTTTGGTACAGTGATTCTGTGTATTCCTTCCTTCTTTTCATGTGTCCTGTGTCATTCACTATTTTGCCCATAGAATCCTTGAGTACTGCAGTTGGAGGCTTCAATTTTTGCTTCAGCTCTTTCAGCTTGAGAAATGCTGAGTGTATTCTTCCCTTTTGGTTTTCTAAATCCAGGCCTTTGCAAATTTCGTTATAATACTTTATGTTGTCTTCTTGAGCTCTCCTTTGAAATCTCTTGCTCTTTTAGTTCATCATTTCTTTCATTCTCTTTAGCTCTGTTCAAGAGCCAGTTTCAGAGTCTCTTCTGAAATCCATTTTGGTCTTTTCTTCCTTTGTTATATTTTTAATGATGTTTTGCTTTCTTCATGTATGACACTCTTGTTACCATCCTACAACTGGTCAGGTTTTTGGTCATTGGTGGTAAATGTGTCAAGTCTGTTCTTCAGATAGTCTCTAAATTCAAGATGGATATAAACAAGGTCATATTTTGAGAGACAGACAAACTTGTCTGTCAGTTTGTCCTACTGTGATGACTTGAGTGTTGGCTGTGAGGCTGGAGGCTTTACCACTGGTGTTTCAAATGCGAGCAGGGCTACCTATGGTGGATATTTTTCAGGGGAGCCTCTAGACTAAGACAGACTCGGAAGGAGGAGGAGGCCATCCCAAAGAGCTGGCCAGTGAAAACGTTATGAATAGCAGTGACACATTGTGTGATATAGTGCAGGAAGGTGAGCCCCTCAGGTCTGAAGGTACTCAGAATATGGCTGGAGAAGAGCTGCCCCCTGAGAGTAGAGTGCCTCCTCAGAATAGAGCTGAACTTAATGATGTGCATAGAAGAAAGCTTTCGGGACCCCCATTTGCTGATTTGGCACGTCTCAAGATGAAAAGAAACAGCTGCAAACATCCATTAATAATCGTAACGTGGAATTGATGAAGTATGAATCTAGGAAGGTTGGAGGTGTCAAAAATGAAATGGAACACATAAAGATCGATATTCTAGGCATAGTGAGCTGAAATGGACTGGTTTGGGCCCATTTTGAATCAGACAACCATATGATCTACTATGCTGGGAATGACAAATTGAAGAGGAATGGCATCACAAAGACTGTTTCAAGATCTGTCCTGAAGTACAGCACTGGCAGTGACAGGATAATATCCATATGTGTACAAGGAAGACCAGTTAATACTACTA